TTATTATTATTATTATTATTATTATTATTATTATTATTATTATTATTTCCTTTCTTACCTAACATCTCAAATTAAGGTTTGATGGGAAAACTGTTGGGTATTAGCTAATCACATTTTTAAAAAGTGTATGAATTTTTCTCTCTCAAAGACTGAACAATTCTTTTGTTCTTATGGCACAAGAATATCCCTGAGCTTTTGTACTGGAATGCATAATCTGGAACCTTAAAAAAATGTTGACGAGGTTTGCTCATTTCCTTCTATCACCCAGACTTTAATCTCAACACTCCCAGGAATCCTGGATTGACACTGGGTAGACTGGAAAATAATTTTTTTAACTGGATTTGAATTTTCTCTGACATATTTCCTCTGCCTTCCTTCATTCCTGTATGTTCTTTTTATCTCTTGCAGAGATCTGTCTTTTGACTAAGGGCCGTCGCACTGCCAGCGTGAGAGCAGATACATATTGCCGCCTGTATTCTCTTTCTGTGGACAACTTCAATGAAGTTTTGGAAGAATATCCAATGATGAGGCGAGCGTTTGAAACAGTGGCCATTGACAGATTAGACAGGATAGGTAGGTATTCAATTTTTCATTCATTTTTCTTTTTAGAGTCAAGAAACTTAATAGACCATAGTTTGCAATTTTGATTTGTTTGAATGATTGGGTATAAATAACATGAAGAAGAAGAAGGAGGAGGAGGAGGAGGAGGAGGAGGAGGAGGAGGAGGAGGAGGAGGAGGAGGAGGAGGAGGAGGAGAAGAAGAAGAAGATCAGCATCATCATAATGTTGCTGTGTTCTTGTGGACATGATGTGTCTATGTAGATCGAGGTACAGATAAAGGAAAGAAAGATAATGATGCCCATTAGTGAAGCTCAACTCATGGTGACTATATGAAAGCATTCATACTATTTTCTTGACCATAGTAGAAAAGAGATTCCCCATTGTCTTCCTGACACTTTTTCTGATTTCTCAGTCTAAGTTATGGCTCTAGAATTCTTAGTGGTCTTTTATCCAAATATTAATCAAGGCCAATCCAGATAGGATATATGTAGAAATATCTATCTTATGAGGAAGCATATATACAAATTCCTGTTCCAATCTCTAATAAAGTTAGATTTCCCTATTTCCATATAAAATGGAATCCCAACAAAACAGGCAGGATCTAGGACACAGTTTCAAGTCTCCATTTCACAATCCCTTATCAAACCAGTTAACCAAGTTTACATAAATGTATCCTTTCTAAATATTTCCAGCTCTGTGCTATTGCAGAACAGTAGTCTTTATTTAGGTTATTTCAAGGTTAGGGATTGCCACTAATTCATATAAGTATATAAAATTATGTTCAATTGTTATGATTGTAGCTCTGCAGAAAATATTAGTTACAAGAAACAATTCAGTTATTACTAAATGGGACATTTATTTTTGGGCAGTGGATTAAATACATAATATAGTCCTATAACACTTAATATTAGCGAAATTATAGTCAAGTGTCACATAATATGTTCTATTTTCATATTATTCACATACATTTAGAAAGATTACTCCTCTCAATCTGTTGGTCATTCATTACCAGTGTTGAATAGCTGCTTTCAAGTAACATGTTAAATGAGCAGACACATTCATAACCTATTTAACATGTTTAGCATTTGAGAAATTAGGACAGCTTGGCAAAACAAGTGAAGGAATCTATAAAATCTAATAATTCCATTTCCTTGCCTTTTTACAGCTTTGGTAACATGTCATTATTGGCTTGTAGTGTATATTTGGATACTAACAAACAAACAAGCAAGCAAGCATGCACACACATTTACAAATGCAAAATCTCCACGTATTTCTTCACATTGGTCTTTATTAGTTAATTATTCAGGACTCTTCTTAAAGTTCATTGGGTACAACCAAATTTTCCCAGAGGGTATTTGCAGTATATTTCTTCATATTACACACAGACCAACATTGTTCACATACAAAAAAAAATGTGTATGTAGCTTTTATGATTGAGAGCAAGGTCACTCGGTGATACAATTACAATATTCTTATGGGTATGATTCTTTCCCCACAGCTATGACTTCTTCCCCTTAAAATGTCCATGGGAGTTGAGTGGTTAATATATTTAAGTAAATTATAAAAAAAATGAATTAATTGAAGCTAAAGAGAAGACAAGCAGGTTGACAAATATTGCTTCTTTTGTCACTGAATACTGTTGGATCCATAAGTAGAATAGTATTCATGGCTAGATGCTATGCTTTATTGAGTTACATGTTCCCACAGTGTGGGAAACAGGATCCTGGATGGATCTTTTTCAAGCCACGAAGGCTCTTCAATGTGTGATCTTGAAAATGAAAGCTATTAACCTTATATGGAGAATAGAGCTAGAACTTAATTATCACTTCTCTTTTGTTCTTATAACCATTACAAATTATCATTGCCATGATGCAAAGATGTATTTTAGAGATAGAGAAGCAGAAATGTATTCCTATGCTGAATAACTTGCATGGTGTGTTATGTCAATCTCACTCCCTAAAGGAAAGAAGAATTCAATTCTACTCCAGAAATTCCAAAAAGATCTCAATACTGGCGTTTTCAACAATCAGGAGAGTGAAATTTTGAAACAGATAGTGAAGTATGACCGAGAGATGGTGCAGACTGTTGGGACAGCAAATTATTCACAAACACCTGCTTTGAATTCAAGCCCTTCAACTACCATTTCATCAATGCAAATGAGGACACAGACCACACCTGTCTATGCTGTGACCAACCTCTCCCATGGGAGCTTGAATTCATCAACACCGAGCACGCAGACACCTCAACAGGGTGTAGTTTTCTCACCATGCTCCTACCCTTCTGCAGTCTGTAGTCCTTCAATACAGAGTCCTTTAGCCGGTCGAACTTTTCAATATGCAACTCCTACTGCTTCACAATTGTCACTGCTACAGCAGCAGCAGCTGCAACAACCACAGCAGCTGCAACAACCACAGCAGCTGCAACAACCACAACAGCTGCAGCAAATGCCCAGTGGGTCACAGAAGAACGATATCCATAAGAGTACACAAACTCTTCACAATGCTAGCCTGACAAGAGAAGTACGCCCCCTGTCAGCCTCACAGCCTTCTTTGCCCCATGAGGTCTCTACTATAATTACAAGACCACATCCAACAGTGGGAGAATCTTTAGCTTCCATTCCACAGCCAGTGTCTGCTCTTCAAAGCACAGGAATCCAGGGTGGGAGCAGAGGCACAGTCCCACAGAGAGTGTCCCTCTTCCGACAGATGTCTTCAGGAGCAATTCCACCAACACGAGGACCGATGCCATCCACAGCTGGGCCTCAAAGAGATACTTCTACAGTCTTAAACCCTGAACTAGAGGGAGATAAACCACGGTTTGCTTCAAACTTATGATTCATGTAGACTGAATAAAGCAGAAGCATTGAAACAGATTGAAATCATTTGAGGACACTTGTTAGAACTTAATTTTGCATAGTTCCCAGCTGTCTACAACAACAACAACAAAAAAGAAAATTGTAGACAAACTTAACCCACAAAATTGAATGTACAATGTAAAGACAGATAGAAGGGAAAAGAGAGAGAGAAATCCAAGTGGCATCTCTTGTCTTTGTTTCTTATCAACAGTTCAGAGTCTAAAAACAGGTGTAATATTTATTTTTAACTTAGTTAAAAATATAAAGTTTCCTCATTTGAATCTATATTTTTTAAGAAATGACAGTATTATGAATTCCAGGAACTAAGCCAGAAAATAAGAACAGCTTTCTCTGAATACATGCTAGCTTGGAATAGCGCTTCTGAAACAGTGGTTTTTAACCTTTCTTAGTCAACTATAATTGAGATATAATTCCTATTTTAGAGGTCCAGATTATTTTTTTGGTTCTTTTACGTTAAGGCTTAGATTGAAGGGTCAATGAAATTTTTACTGTCTACAAAAACTATAAAGAACAGTAAATAGTGAAGACTCACTCATCTTGTTGTAAATAACTTTTTAGACCCAAGTAATAATAACCAAAAAAAATAGCTCCTGTGTGATGTATCATTGCAAAGTATTTGTTTAGAAATTTAGTTTCAGCTATTCATGCCAAAATGTAAACATTTAAAAATTTTTACAAGATATAAAATACAATATAATTGTAATGCAATGGCTTGCATTCTAAAATGCTACTTTTACATGCAGTGTTTTTAATGCAGATTTGTATGTTTGATCCTGCTATGTGTATTTCAGCAATGCTATTATCGTTTTCTTCGTTGTCCTGGACACTGTAAGAAATATTCCATGCATGTTCAGACATAATAGATGGGGAAAGCGGGGGACAGAAAACTAACCAAAAGATGAACCAGAAATATCCTGTGCCCTCAATGCAACTAAAAGATTCAGTCAGCAATATTAGAAGAAGTGGAGAAAAAAAATACTGAAAAAATGTGAATGTACGGTTTTTATCATTCATTTCTTATTATGCTGATTTTGAATCTAGAGTTAAAGATTAGGTGTTTTATTTCAATTGATTGAATGAATTGTTTTAATAATGCTTCAGTTAGTCTTTCATGTGTTTATTGTGTCCTCACTGTAACTCAAAAGTTGATTGTAGCAATCTTTTTTTAAAGTATATTATAGCATCCTGTTTGTTAGGAAAGCACACATTCCAGTGTATAGTGTAATAATTTGGACAACAACATATTTATTACACCATGTAGCATTGAAAATAGAAATAATATTTTCCTTTCTTTTTGACTTCTAATGTCCACACAAAAGAAAGGGAAATTGTAATCAAATGTGGGGGTTTTGTAATTTTTTTCTTTCAGTTGCTTTATCATGTCATCTTATGACTTCAGATACCTCCAAAAGGAGTATTTTTCAAATGCTCAATGTACTGATTTAGGGCCATTCATTCATGGCCTACCATGTTGCCAGTCCTCTTAGGGATATATTGTCATCATGGGACATATCTATATGACATTTTCTCTTAGTCATTGGATTGAAATTGTAATTTGGGTTGGTTTTTTTTTTTCCTTTTGACACTCCTGGGTCAAAGTTTACTCTTGTCCATAATCGAACTAGTAACTTCCAAGGAACTTGGAAGTTAGGTTGAGAGAGACATGAAATTCAACTGTACCCATTTTGTAGGCATTAATGGGAACAGCTGTTGAAGCAGGAGAATGGTCATGTAGCTATTGGTAATATATTAACTATTGATTATCCCAAACCCTTTCCAGCAATGTACTGATTTTCTCTAATTCACAAGTAGCACTATTTTAATATGTAATGTCTATAGCAGAGTTCAATAGAGTACCTTTTGAGCCTACATCTCATAATAGTTTATTTTTTTTAAAGCACTCCTTCCCTACTTTGGATTTTGCCCTTAGCTGAAACCCAAATCGGACTTCTGCCTGTTAACTTTTTCCCTTCAATGCTATTGTAAATGCTTATGTGAATTAGGCATAATTATTAGTAAAAAGTATATATTATTTTAATGAATTCTACTTCCCAACCCAAAATCAAGTTAATGTGGTCATTTATTCCATGAATATGATGCTGCCAACTGTTCAAATAGAATTATCATGAATCCCATGTAAGGGATATAATATTTAAAGTATTCTAGGTAAACAGCAAGTCCATTTATTTTTAGTACACCAAATCCCTGACTATATATTAATACTGATGACAAATTTTATCCAAACAATGATGATCCTATCCTGGTCTTTAAAATTGTTCAAGGTTTACATTTGATAGGAGTATAATGGAGTTGGTAGTGAACTATTTTTATACATATGTTTATTTTATTTTATGTACTATACAAAAACTTAACATACATGATCTTTCAGTAATACCATTAAAAAACTTTTTAATGACTTTATAATAGAATGGTCAAAATCTAAGATTTTTAAGTTAATTAAAATGGTACAGGGTATAAAACTGAAATTATGTATATAAGAATGTATGTGTGTGTGTATATATATATATATATATATATACACACACACACACACAAACACATATATGTATACAAAACAATCCACTCGTTTCTGTAATATAAAGACTATGCATTGCTATTTTGAGAATTGACCTATTTTTCTCTGAATATAAATAAGCCCTGAAATATGGAACCTTACATCTGTATAGGATGAAATGTATTTACAATAATGTTGGATTATGTTGCTGCTGATAAAAAAATACATCAAACTGATTCTTACAATAATTGCAAAATCAGGGATAAGTTAAACTTTTTTTCTTTTGTCTTTGCTCAAAGCCATAAATATATATATATATAAATAAATATATATATGGTTATTAGTAAATTAAAAAATATATAAAACAATAAAATGTGAATATTTTATTTCATTTGTAATGTTTTCATCCCAAGCATATTATTTTAATGTGCACCCGCACATTTTCTAATCCAAATACCACGTGACTGAATGTTCTGCTTTGATCCATTCCTTCATCTTGAAAGTACATGGTATTTGATTATCTTAATTGGATAAACAGAGGTTCATTTCTTGAATTCCATCCAAGAAATAAATTGGTAGCTTTGATTAAAATGTAACTCATGCTTGTATGCATAGGTCAGGGGTTCCCAACCTGGGGTGCGAGACGATATTCCAGGGGGTGCGAGAAAAGTCCAGGTAAATAATAGGATATTGGATATATGTTGGCATTTTTATTTTCTTTTGCAATGGATTAACTTAACTGAGCAAAATATAAATTTCAGGGGTGCGAGGTTCGAGTGAAATTTCTTTAGGGGTGCGGGGCAAAAAAAAGGTTGGGAACCACTGGCATAGGTGATAAAATGCTTGTCTTATCTCCACATACAAGAAAGATGAAAAGTCACAAAGATGTAGTAGCACCTTAGCATTTAATAAATCTATTCAGATAAACTTTCATTAAAAAGAGGTACTGATATGGGAGACTAACAAAGTGGAAGTCAAAAGATTTAGCATTACTATAAAACACATGAAGAACAGTTGCAGGAACTGGGTATGTCTAGTCTAATGAAAAGAAGGACTAGGGGAGACATGATAACAGTGTTCCAATATCTCAGGGGCTGCCACAAAGAAGAGGGAGTCAAGCAAACTCCAAAGCACCTGAGGGCAGGACAAGAAGCAATGGGTGGAAACTAATCAAGGAGAGAAGCAACTTAGAACTACGGAGAAATTTCCTGACAGTTAGAACAATTAATCAGTGGAACAACTTGCCTCCAGAAGTTGTGAATGCTCCAACACTGGAAGTTTTAAAAAAAATATTGGATAACCATTTGTCTGAAGGGTTTCCTGGACTAGAAGACCTCCAAGGTTCCTTCCAATGCTGTTATTCTATTCTATTCTGAAACAATGATATCCCTAAGCAAAGAAAACCTAAATCATGTATTGAGAAATACAAGCTTCATAAGACTTGCAAAACAAGTATTCAATCCATTGGCAACTTGTCTGTTCTGAGAAGAACACACAATATCTTTGTGAGATAGGTATTTGGGTCCTCCTTACCTACCTTCCTGTTTTTACTGAAACCATCTACTATTTGTCAATAGATTTCCAGTATTTTTATGCTGTGTAGAAGTGTCCTTCCACAGTTTCTCAATGGAATACCTACAAATTTAGGTTATTTTAGTTTATTATGTGGTTGATTAAGCCAGAATTAAGCACACCTCCTTAATCCATGAATAATATGCTACAAATTTGGCTCTCCAGGTTTCTTGAAATATCTGGTTTATGACATTGTGACAGTGCATTCCAAATGCTGATAGTGGCTCAACTGGTATTAGAAAAAGAGTAATTCTTTTAGATGCAAAGTTAGAAGCTAGTTCAACACAATAATGACTCTCTCTTAAATGTAGAAGTAGGAAGCTAGTTCAACCCTATTTTGACTGGCCTTAAATATGTGCTTCCTAATACATACATTCAAATGGGGCACAACTGTCATGATATTTTGTCTGCCATCTTGTTAATTTTGATATAAGCCAAATACACAATCCACAGAGTCCACTATTAGAACAATAAGGTTTAAGTAAAGGACAACTTGAGCTAGTTGATGGAATGTCTGTAGATATTCTTAGTTTCTGGTCTTTTATAAGGAATCAGTGTTTACTGAAAGAAGTGGAAATGGCCATGTTTAAGAGGTGCTTCTGTCCATTTTCTTATATGTAAGTGAGATACGTTAAGAGAAACATCAAAGTACATAGAATGCAGTTAGAAATAAATTATTTAGGAAGTATGAGCAATGCAACAAGAGGAAAATGAATGGCTGCTAATGCATGTTGTGGAATTAATGCAAAAGTGATCTCCTCATATAAAGAAATACATAGAACATAGAATAATAAAGTTGGAAGGGACCAGTGGTGGGATTCAAAATATTTTACTACTGGTTCTGTGGCGTGGCTTGGTGGGCTTGGCAGGGGAAGGATACTGCAAAATCTCCATTCCTTCCTCACCCACTAACCTGCTTTCCAGCTCCGTTCTCCTGTGCAGGGTAACAAAAGAAGACCCAGGCAATCAGCTGGGACTCGGGAGGCAGAGAATAGATGGAGGCAGGGCCAACCAGGGGTGGTATTTGCCAGTTCTCCAAACTACTCAAAATTTCCGCTAGCGGTTCTCCAGAACTGGTCAGAACCTGCTGAATACCACCTCTGGAACAGACTCTGGAGGACTTCTAGTGAAGCTCAAACCAGAGACCCTATACTGTAGTGTAGGTAAATGGAACCTCTTGATGTTTAACTGAAGAGAAACCAATGTTAGACAGAGAGTAGTGAAGGACATATTTTGAGGTGACACAGTATGAAGGAACCGGAA